GGTACCTGTCCCGCCCTCACCACTCCCCTTTTTGGGTAAACTTCTCAAAAGATTTCTCCAACATTCAGCATTTATTTCCTTACTGTTTACTCATCTCGGTCTGGTTTCTGCCTCTTCCAATCTAAAATGGTTCTTGCTGAGGTCAAAGACTTCATCTTGCTAAGTTCAACAGATCATTTTCAGTCTACTTCTTAACTTGATGACTCCTCTCTTTTTGAAATATCCTCTTTTCTTGCCTTTTATGACACATCTTAAGCTGGAATTAGATTTTAGAGTAAGACAAAAATCAAGTATAGTCTAAATTACTCTTGAAAATCCTTTAAACGGCTCATTAAGTAAAGCATACTTGTGTTTGTGTACATAACCCTACGCGGTACGAACAGCATAAATGTACACATGCAAAACAAACAGTGAGTTTAGATGCAAAATAAAACTTCGCTCTCTCTTATCTAATTAAAAACCCCTTCAAGTGTATTGGGTTAAGTTTGCACACTTTAACTGGAAGTAAGGTGCCATTCTACTGTACCTCCCTGGCCATTTCTCATCCTTTTCCTGGGGCTACCCTCCTTTACCCAGTGTTGATTGGGCCTGAGCCCTCTTCCCTTCTGAATCTCTATCAATGGGTCTCAACTTCCACTGCTCAGTGCACTCACCAGAGGAGCTTTCAAAAATCCCAGGTTACAATTCAGACCAGGTAAACAGACACAGAATTTCTGGGATGGGCCCAGCATCAGTATTTTTTAATCATCCAATGTTTCCAATGTGCAGCCAAAGTGAGGGTCATTTCTGCTCTCCTCCTAGAGCAGGGGTCACACACTCAATGCTGACAGGGTCAGAGAAGTAAATGAGCAAAGGAGGCCACGCATAAATTTTAAGAGTGGAGGGATGCTCTTTGGTGAACTAGAAAGCAGCTGGTATCAGTTGTGACTTAGCTCCAATCAATTGTTGCCACATTTGACAACATTGGAAAGCCAGCTCAGGAGGGCTAAATCTTCACATTTTTAAAGAAAAACCCCAATTCGATATTTCCAAGGGACATCTTCAGATTTTAAATTATTGGCAATTAACTCAAAATTAAACAACAAAAACCACTGTGTTGGAAAAACAAATCACATCTGTAAGCCAGGTTCAGCTGTGTGCTGCAGGTTTACAACCTCTGCCCTAGGTAATTCCATCCACACATTTCAATTTACACCTAAAAACTTGTGTCCCCAGTTCAGCCACTCCTCTGAGTTATGGATTTGAATTATCAGATGCTTATGACATCTCCACTTAAAGGTCTCACCAGTCTCAAAGTGAAATGTGATTTAAACCCACCTCGAAACTATTTATCCTTCCAGTGTTCTCTATCTCAGGTAACAACTCCACCATTCACCTGGATGGGCAAGCCAGAATCTTGGGAGTCACCCTACATACTTATTTCTTCCTCTTACGGCTTGTGCCATATCAACCATCAAATCCTATCAATTGTGCCTCCTAAATATATCTCCTATATCCATCTACCTCTCTCCATCTCCCCTGCTCCCTCCTTCCTTGTTCCCAGCTACCATCTTTTCTCTCCTACCTTTCCACAGTGTATTCGTTGGCTCAGGCTACCATAATAAAATACTACAGACTGGCTGGCTTAAACAACAGAAATTCATAGAATTTCCAGAAATTTACGTAAGTCCCAGATCAAGGTCCATCAGAGGTGGTTTCTAGGGAAGATTTGTTCTTGGCTCGCAGATGGCCACTTTCTCAGTGTGCTCACATGGCCTTCCCTCCTCTTCTTATAAGGCCACCAATTTTATCAGATTAGGGTCCCACCCCTATGACCTCTTTTAACCTTAATTACCTCCTAAAGGCTATCCTCAAATATAGTCACTTTGGGGGATGGGGCTTCAAAATATCAATCTGGGGGGAGGGGCACAATTCATTCTACAGAACACGGTAACCTTAATTAGGGACAGCTGCCCCCACATTCATTCATTTTGTCCCACACAATTTTCTCCAATATGACCAGAGTGATCTTTTACAAACACAAATCTTTACAAACGTGTGTGTGTGTGTGTGTGTGTGTGTGTGTGTGTGTGTGTACATATCTGACCCAACAAGTCCACTTCTAGGAATCTATCTTGCAAATATATTCACACACATGAACTGGCATTAGTACTGTTACAGTAAATTATTGGAAACAATTTAAGTGTCCATTAATAGGATGGTTAAATAATCTGTGGTATATCCATACAATGGAATACTATACAGTAACTCAAAATAAGAAGGAAACTATACATTGAAATGGAAAGATTTCCAAGACATTGTTCAGAGAACAAGAGAACAAAACAAAGAACACAACAGTGTGTACAGTATGCTACCATTTGTGTAAACAGATGGAAAGAAGAATATGCATTTGCTTGAATGCCCACAGAAAATGTCTAGATATATGCCTCCTAAATATATCTCCTGTATCCATACACAGTAATACCTTGGTTTGTGAGCATAATTCGTTCCAGAAACAAACTACTCGTATTGCAAGACATCGCTTGTTTACCAAGTTAAAATGTATTAGAAATGTCTGCTCATCTTGCAAAACACTCGCAAACCACATTACTCGCAATCCAAGGTTTTACTGTACTTCTCTTCATCTCCTCCGCTACCACCTTGGTCCCAGCTGTTATAGTAAATTACTGGAAACTAGTAACAGTGGTTACCCCTTTGGAAGGTGTGGGGAACACGGCAGTTGGGGAGGGAATAGGACCATAGCAGACATTCCGATTTAATGGGCTTAGAGGATGGCTCAGCACTAGTTTTAAGTTAACCTCTTGTGATTTTGATGAGCAGGCTGGACTGAGAACTGCTGCTAGAGATAGCCTTCACTTACCTTCCCAGATTCCTTTTATGTCATCTTGCCCCATCATTCTCCATGTTCCAGTCTCACTGGCCTCTAAGTCCCAGAAAAGATCCTGTTCCTTCTGCAGGAATACTGTCCCCATAAGCTTCACCTTATAGCATCTATTATCGTTCAGAGTCCACCTCACCCTAAAATTCATTTCCAAGGAAACTTTCCTAGTTTCCAAACTAGGTCAGGACCCGTTCTATGTACTCAGAGCATTCTGTACTTCTAGAATGTATCACAATTGTAATGAGGTAATTGTATCATTGTACATGTATGCATCTGTTACTCTCTTTAGACTGTAATGTCTATGAGTGCAGAGACCACATCAATTGCTTTTACCACTGGATTCCCAGACCTAAATAGTGTCTGGCTAAGTAGGCCCTCCCTCAGATATTTGTCACATGAATGAATGACTACTCCTGCCCTCAGACTCAGCATAGTAGATAAAATGAACACATAAGCAAATGAGGACCATGCAGTGTCACTGGTGTTAAGGTAGCAGTCTGTTTAGAACAGTGGTTCTCAGGTAGGGGTGATCTGGGCCCTCCCAAGGGACTCCTGGCAATGTCTGAAGACATATGTGATTGTCACAACTGTGTGGGCTGTGTGAATGTTTGTCACAACTGGGGATGAGGGTAATACTGATAATCAATTAAGCAGAGGCTAAAACATCCTCTAATGCACAGGATAGACCCCTACAACAAAGAATTATCTGGTCCGAATGTCAATAGCTCCACGGTCAAAACCCCCTAATTTAGAGGATGGTAATGCCCATAAGGGTGATCAATTCTACTCCAGGTGGTGGGGTTTCTTATTTTGGTCGGGAGGGAGCAGATGTCAAGAAAAGTTTCAGAGAGGAAATATATAGTACAGCTTTAGCTGCACATAGAAGGGTGGCAGGGGCCATGTCCATGAAGACTATGTTTGCGAGAGGTAATGAGGAGCCTCTGAAGAGTTTAAAAGCAGAGTTATGATTTGAACAGTACCCCATACTCCAAAACTACTCATCTCCTATTCCTTTCTTGCTGAAACAGAACTTTCATTCTCTTAAGGCAGCTGGTTTCAGCTAAACATTAAGGCCAAATTAATTCAGACTAGGATAAGTCAGCCCCTTCACACTCCAGAATGTTAAGCTGCATTTTAAGATATGCAAATACTAATGAATACAAATAAATATTTAACTGCTTAATGTTCAGATTTTTAGTGGATAAAGCTATTTTTTTAACCCAAAGGCCAGGCTGGTCCTGGTAAAGACTTCTCCAAAGTTTTCTGTTTTTAAAAAACTTAACTTTATCTTCCCTGTCCTCAATTTCTGAGCTCCCAGATTTATAAAAGATCCAGGTTTTCTCCACAAATATCTCATAAGTGAGTTCTTCTGCCAGACAGGTTAGGAGAACCATTTGGATACAATAAATGTGAATAAATTGTATGCATTAACTAGGAGTGGTCTATTGGTTTTTTAAAAGGCTTTCACTAAGTCATGGATACTACTGAAAGGAATGAAATTGAGATAATTTTAATGGCATCACCAAGAAAGAAAACCGTGTTTTACTACAAGTCTGCTGCTTGCTGAGCTGGATGCACATGCTCTGACCTAGTATGGCAATTCTTAGGGTCTCGGCACTAGGTGCTCTGTTTACAAGAAACTGAGGCCTGAGACTAATGAAGAACAAAGAAAAATGCCTGGCACCAAAGGTTTGGGGGCTGTTTTGTACATGAACGATTTTGAGGAGGAACACTTCCTCAGATTTTGGACTGCACCACAAATCACGTTTCTGCTTACGTGTTAAGAATTTTTATTTCGTGCTTCCAGACCATTTCCTAATAAGAAAATACCTTATAATTTACAAACAGCAATTTATCCTCCCTTACATTTGCAGACCACTAAAACTGGATAACATTTCCTTAAGCTTTACCAGAATCGAAGAACTGGGAATAATGTGAGCACAACAGAGTTCAGATGCAACATCAACTCCAAGCCCAGGCCAGCTGGTTTCCATCGAGAGGTCCCCCCGGAGAAAGCCCCTCCGAGGCGGTGGCCGGGTTCGGCGCGGGAGCGAGACCCACCCGGTGGGCCCGGGGACGGTCGCAAGGCAGGACTAGGGTCTGCCCGGCCTCCGTTTACCTTTGTTTCAGGTACTCCCGCTCCCAGCCGGGCCGGGGATCCCGCCCAAGGCCCCGAACTGGTGACACATCCTTCTTTGGCCAAGTCGGGCCGAGGTTGGGCAGGGGGCGGGGAAGGAAAATAAAGCCTCAGCGCCTAACGACGTGACTCTCAGTTCTTCCAAAACGTTGGCATTTGTTTCTCTGCCAAGCTTTCCGGTTAACAAGTTCCCGAGGGCTGCGCGGGCGAACTGGCCTAGGAGCCCCGAAAGTGGGAAGGAGCAGGCCGTCCCCCGCCTTCCGTCCTCTTTGGACGCCCCCGGGGCAGGCGGTTTCCACACCTCCCGGGCTGCCACAGCCCGGGACCGAGCTGGCGTGCAGAGGCGCCCGCACCGCCTCGAACCCCGACTTCCACCGCTCTGCCAGCTCCAGCAGCGCAGCGCGACCGCGCCGAGCCCTCGGGCCAGGCCGGTCCCCGCCCCCAGGCACCGGCCCCGCCCGCCCGGGCCTCCGCGTACCGCCCCCCGGCCTCGCCACAACCCTCGGGCCGGGCCCGGGGCGCTTGGGCTTCAGGCTGCGCGGCGGGCGTCCTCGCGCCTACCTGAATGCCCGCGGCTCCTCCTGCGGCTGCTGCCTCGGCTCACAGACTGCGCTCACCGCCCAGGCTCACGGCGCCGCGGGATACTGAGCTGCGAGCGCGGCGCGTGAAGAGCTGAGGCCCGAGCGCGCCCCGCCCAGCCGCCTGTCCGTCCCCTCCTCCCCCTCGTCCCCACCCTCGGCCGCGGTCTCGGCGCCCCGCCCCTCCCCGCGGGCCCCGCCCGCACTGCCCCGCCCCTCGCTAGGAAGGGGGCCGCCAGGGGCGCCACGAGAGCCGCTGATGCTGCTGCGGGTGCAGTCCCGGGGATGGCGGCTTCTCGGAGACGCGATTCGTAGCCCTTATTACTATTTGGCGGATGCGAGTCTCTCAGATTTGTTATTACTGTGATTGTTGTTATCATTATTGTTATCGTTGTTGTTATTGTAATTGTCACTGATTGTTTTGCCCTCCTTCAGCGGACTCGTAGCCCTCGCCTGGACGCTCCGGGTCACGCCATCCCTCCTAGTGGCCTGCACCTGCGCCAATTTTCGTTATGAAGTAGTGAACAAATTGAAAGAGATGTTTATATTTAACTGTTTTATTGTTAAGTATAGGACAAATAGAGAAAGCCACATAAAACTAAGGCATTATTCTGAGACATAAACCCTTATAACCACCCTCCATTTAATGCCGTGTAAAATGACCTGACTTAAAGCTCGTCAATAGCTGGGAGGATACAGCCTGAGAAGGGCTCCTAAAAGTGCCCTTCTCCTAATTGCCACAGGAACTCAAAGGCCACCTGTCCATAATCATGCACTCTCCAAGAACACATTTGTAAGATGGAAATTTCCCCAGAATTAGGAACCTCTAGTTAAGAATGTATCAATAAAATTCTTAATTAAAAAGATACATAATAAATATATATGCATATAAATAATTTAGTAAGTTAATCAATCATGCGATTGAACAGCATGAGTAAGGAGAACCTAGGGGTGGGGGATGGGAGGTATGTAAAGATTTAAAAATAGCCAAGGATTAGGTGGTTTATGAAGATTGGTTCTGGGCACCTGGGCTGTCTGTCCTCACTCTATGTTGCTAGCACCTTGCACAGCACTAGGCATATATAATAGGTGACGTGTGTATTTATAGTGCAAGGAAAGAAAAACATATTTGGGTGAATATTTATATTTATATTTATATATTTATACTCACCCAAAACAGGTGTTGCCTGAACAATTTCATCCCAGGTCAATTTTTCTAATAGCTAAAATGATGAGTTCTGTGAGATGCATTGATGCTTTGGAAAGAGGCCATAAAACTTTAAACTTTATACTCCTTTCCAGTTTTTCAAAAAGACCTTTCACATACATTATGGTATCTTGAGTCAGTCAACAAAGTTTGCTGCCACTAATCTAATGCAAACAGGAGTCCCCAATCTGGGGTGTGATAGAAGGGGAAGCTTTATTCAGGTAAACAACTTGCAAACCAGGGAAAGCAGCCTCTAGTGGAAACACAGGAGACAAAGGAGACACCTTTTATAGACAAAGCACCATTCTTGGTCCCTGATTGGTCCATTTTTATACAATCAAATTTACACAGTTTGATTGATCCAAACAGCACTATCCTGATTGGTCATTATGGAGCTGCTCTGATTGGTCAGTAAAGATGCAAATGAGGATATAGTTGTGCAGCCTGGATTGGATGGGGCAGGCCGTCTCAGCTCATTGGTGGAGAGATGATTCCGTGAACTCCTTTATAAGGGTCTGCTCAGCTGGCAGGAATGAGGTTTGGCAGTTCAGTCTATGGCTTTTCCCTGATATGTAGTATACATTAGAGTCCTCTGATGGCAATGGCTGCTAGACTGTGGTTATGATTTTGGGCCCAATTAACCACAAGGCGTCCTCTTTGGCAGATATATTCCTTTTTGGGGTTCACAAGACTTAGATCCATCTGGTGAGAAAGGCAGAGCAGGACAGAAGACAGAAGAACTTTGCAAAGGTCCTAGTGAAATGCATACCTGAGAAGTACACAGTGAACTATAAAAGTTTCAGTAGTGCTGACCCTTCCTTCCAATCCCTCCTGGATACCTGGTTTGTCTTGACAGTTTTATGGCCTGAGTTTTTACATTAGAATTCTTTTCGCTCCTTTGGCATACATTTATATGAAGTACAAAACATCTAACTGGAAATTTGACTCAATATGATGGAGTCAACGTCTTTATCATGAGCACTTCGGTGAATGGGGGCTAGAAAGCTGCCAAATTGCCACAATTTATTGAGCACCCTGGTTCTGTGGTTTGTGTAGAGATACAAAGAACATAAAATGAATAAGACACAATCTTTGCTCTCCAGGGTTTATGGTTGAATTAGGGAGAAAGATTTGGCAATAAGTGAAATTTTAATTTATTTGAATGGTAGGGGAACAGTCCCGAGCACAATTAATTCTATTAGGTGTAAGGAGAGAGTAGGGCAAGTCTTCTCAGAACATCTGACTTCTTAAAATTATAGAAAAATATCAAATATTGCAAAAATGGAAAGAATAATATAATGAACTACTATGTACTCATTACTCAGTTTCAACAATTACCATCACATGGCCAATTTGTTCCATCTGTACCTCACCTCTTTCCCTCCTTGGATTATTTTAAAGAAAATCACAAGCAGCATATTATTTCACCCATAAATATTTCACTAGGTATCTCTAAAAATATATATGGTCTACTTTTTAAAACAACCATAAAATTATTAAAATAGCTTTAAAAATGAACAATTATTAAACATCTAGTAAGTGTTCAGATTTTCCAAAGTTTCTCATAAGTGTTTTATATAGTTTATTTCTTCAAGTCAGGACTCAAACAAGGTGCTTACATTGCATTTGGTTAAAACCTCTTAAGCCTTTTTCTCTCCTTGCACTTTACATGTTCAAGAAATCGATTGCTTGTCCAGTGAAGTTTCCCACATTCTGCTTTTGCTAATTGCATCCCTGTTGTTTAAAATGTTGTTCTACCTTTGTATTCCTTATAAAGTGATACTAGAGCTAGAGATCTGATCAGATTTAGGAAAATACAATCCATAATAAAGAAAAAAGTAAATCAATTGAAAAACAGAACTGACACACATTAGAATTAGCAGACAAAGACTTTAAAACAGTTACTGTAACTGTATTCCAAATGTTCAAAAAGTTAATCAGAAACATGGGCTATATAAAAAACAAACAAAATTGTACTTCTAGACATGAAAATTGTAATGTTTGAATAAAATACACTGATAGGATCAATGGCAAGTTAGACATTGCTCAGGAAAGGTTAGTGAAGTTAAACTCACACCAATAGAAAGTATCCAAATAAAACATACATAAGGAAAAAAAAGATTTAAAAAATAAAAAGAGCACCAGTGACCTGTGGGACAACTTGAAGCGGACTAATATAAGTGTAAATGGACTCTCCAAAGGAAAGAGATGGGAACAAAAAAAATATCTGGGTAATAACGACTCAAATTTTCCAAAATTGACAAAAACTATATACTCACAGATCTGAGAAGTCCAACATACCCTACACACAATAAACATAAAGAAAACCACATGAAAGCACATCATAATCAAATCATTCAAATCAGTATCAAGAGAAAAACTTTAAAAGTAGACAGAAAAAAGATATATATAGAGAGGAACAAAAAAAGGATGATAGTAGGTCTCTTGTTAGAAAAAAATGCAAGCAAGAAGATAGTGGAGTAACATCTTTAAAGTAGAGAAAAGAATTCATCAATCTAGAATTCTATTCTCATCTAAATTCTATTCTTCATCCAAAATGAAGGTGAAACAAGGCTTTTTCAAACATACAAAATCTAAAAGAATTCATCATAGCAGGACTAACAGTAAATGCTAAAGGAGGTCCTCCTTGCATAAGGAAAATGGCTCCAGATGGGATTATGGATCTACAGAAAGGAAGAAAGGGCACAAAATAGTAACTGCATGTATAAAATATGTAAAATCTTAAAAATGCTATCAAAATCTCTTTAAAAGATGATTGACTATTTAAACAAAAATAAGGTATTATGGATATGACTGCCAGCTAATATACCGGATGTTCAGTTAAATATGAATTTCAGATAAATAATTGTTACTATATTAGTATAACTACTTCTAAATATTGTTTGGAACATACTTATTTTATTAAGTTATCCATTATTCATCTGAAATTTAGATTTCACTGGGTGTCCTATATTTTTATGTGTTAGGTCTGGCAACACTAATTTTGAGGTTTGTAACATAAATAAGTAAAATGTATAAGAAAAGCAGCAAAAAGGCTCTGAGGGGGAATAAAAGTATGCAGCTATAAGTTTCTTGTACATGAAATGGTTTAATTTCACTTGAATGTAGATTTTGATAAGTTAAAGATTTATACTATAAATCCTAAAGCAACTACTAAAATATCAAGATAATAATAAGCTAATAAGGCAACAAGAGAGTTAAAATGTAAGCATAAAAAATTCAATTAATCTAAAAGAAGATAGAAAAAGAGGAAAAAGCAACAAAGATTGGAAATATAGAAAACAATTTACAAGACGATAGACTTAAACCAAACCATATCAAATTACATTAAATGTAAATGTAGTAAACATCCCCAGTTAAGTCAGAGATTGGATAAAAAAAGATATAGCAGTATGCTGCTTACAAGGAATACACTTTAAATACATAGACATAGATGGGTTAAAAGAAAAAGGATGGAAAAAGATTTATCATGCAAACAAAAGTAGTCAAAAGAAAAGATTTCAGAGCAAAGAATATTATTAGGAATAAAGAAGATCATTTCATAATGGTAAAGGGGTCAATTCATCAAGAGGACATAACAATTCTAAATGTTTATGCACTTAC